GATGTCTGCCGATTTCTGATTTTCCAGTCTCCAGTAGATAAAATCCATTAATAAATAGTGGAAGTACTGTGTGATAAATAATGAATGAGTAGATGTATGAATGGATGAGTGAATAAGTTTATATATTCTTGTCTTTTGGCATTAGTGTAATATAGATTTACCTGCCAAATACATGTTTGATATTTAATAATTAATGTAGGTAAATATTTAAGTGGAATTTCAAAGCAACTGTGGTGTGGCATGGAACCACACTAATATTTGAATAATGATAATGAATAAGGATGTAAAGTTGAACATTTTATTCTGAAGGATATCATCATTCGCACATCATAGGTGGGGCATCGTATGGGCCAACAACTCAGGAATAGGTCTATTTTCATATTGTGAAGGACAAGGATTAAAAATAGAAAGAAATGAGTAGACTTCCTTAGGGCACTGATATCCCTATCTTTTTAAAGTCTCTGTTAAAAATTTTTAGCAAAGAAATGAAAGGCCGAGGGAGACAGGGAGAAGAGAAATAATCCTCCAAGACTGTGAACATGCTTTTTGTTAAATTATATTTGTTTTTTCTGAGTCATTTGGTTGTTCTACATCATAAAATGATGAATATTAATACAATTTTGTTAGAAATATCCATTTTCTATAATTTATCTAAATGAAATGGGTTGTTTTCTGTAGTTATTTTACACTGTTAAGATTATCTAGAATAATCTATATGTTCATGATGACAATTGGCATTTCTTCAGTACATTTAAGGTTACAAATTTGTGTCACATTCTTTTCTCTACATACTTTATCTCTGGGCCGGGAATTTAGCTCACTGGCGCTGTGCCTGCCTGGCAAGCATAAGGTCCTGAGTTTGATTCCCAACACAAAAAAAAAGAAAAAAAAAAATTTACCTCTAGGGTGGATTGTCACAACCTGAAATACAAATTAATTAACGACTCCATAATATTTCGAATACAGTGCACACAAGATCATGTTAATTGAGATGTTTGCTTTTGAGCAAGTTATAGTAGCTATAAGTAAGCAGAAAATGCATGGACAGTGTTTATTTGGATTTTATTTGCTTTGCATTCCTTTTCAGACAATATCAGCCAGTAGTTTATTAGAAGAAATTATATTCATGAGAAATTCCTAAACCTTACATTTTTAAATAAAAAATATTTACTCCTAGATATATATTTTATGTGAATTCTTATTATTTTTCTCAAAGAATAGTCTAAACAACTTTTTAGTATTGCCAAAAGAAATTTTTGATGCTGTGCATTGTAGAGAACAGAAAAGCACACAAAGTTACTAAAAATAAATCCACAGTTTGTCCCTTAACTTTGTAACTAATGTAGAAAATACCAAGTGCATTATTTTATCTTGTTTCATGTATATTAACCTTCATGTGGTTTATTGTATGATAGAATTACATGGTTAGGTTCAAATTTCAGAAATTACATTCAATCCATGTCTTTTTAAGTTTAGGGTGAAAGTTGTCACATATATGTAAAAGAGCATTGTGTGTTGAATCCAAAAACCTGAGCCTGAGTAGAACTTTCCCATCCTTAGTTTCTTCCATGAGATTATTAATTACTTCAGAGTGCTTAAGATTAAGCAATTGATTAAAAATATTTATAGTGAAATCTACAAATGAAATAATAGCTTCCAATTAGTAAAAACATATTTAATTTAACTTACGTGTTTAAGTTTAAATTCTTTATATGTTATCATATACAAGTTGGAGCTACTCAACAAATACATAAATTATTCATAACTATCTCTGTGTGTACATGAAATATGCCTTTTCAATAGTTTTAATTAGCAACAACATTTACTAATTGGGCATGGAATTAAAGGCAAATTGCTTTCCTCAATTTATGATGATATACTTCTAGAAATGCTATATTTTACAGTGCTTTCTTGACCTTGAAAATGATTTGTATTCTCTTATTTGTAACTTGTTTATATGTATTTTTAAGTTTATACTTTATTTGTAAGAATAGTAGTTATCATGCTAAGCTCTCCAGTTGTTCCTGAAGAAAGTAGAAAAATATATCTCTTCAATATCTGTTGCTAATAGTCATAATTGTGAGAATTCGTGCCAAGAATAAATAGTTCATGTCCATTTCATAGTTAAGGTTTTTAAATTTTCATCTTGTTGAATGAAAAATAATTAATAGAAAATGGGAAACTACTGTGATTTCTGTATTTTTCATGAATAATGAGCCCTTGGTGTAGTATCTCAGAAGTAAATTACTGATGAAACCAAATTTTGAAATAATATCATACAATAGATCAAAGTTATTTATTCAATGACCACTATAAGGATCAAGCATGTGAGTTCTTCCTAAATATACTATCTGCCCTGTCACAGGGTGGAAGAGAATAAAAGGGCAATTCTGACTGACATTTATATCAACTTTGGAACTGTCAGCCTCAGTTATGTCCTTGGGGCCTTGCACTTTTTGGCTTTCAGACATCTGTGCTGCCTTGAATTAGGAATATTAAGAGTTCCAGTGGGTCTCTTGCTTTAATAAATGCTTTGAATACTCATCTTTTAGCATGCACAGGTAATAGCTCTTAGTGTTTAAAGCTAAGACGTATGACATTTCACCCTATCAGCATCCACAGCCCTCTCCTCTTCATCAACACCGTCAGTCCCCTTGTGTATACACTAACACTGTATTTCCTCTGTGCTCATAAATCTCTCCTATTCCAAGGCTGGGAATACATTGACTTCTCGATTTTTCCTGCATAGGCAAGCTAAACAGCTACTTTTAATTTCTCGAAGCATTCCCCAAAACTTTTTCAAGAGTTGTTGATACTGTGAAAAGGAAATTCTAGGGCTGTCACAGAAGCCATTGCTTTCACACAGAGGGTAGTAAACAGGTACAGCATTTGGTGGAGGGGGAGAAATGCCTGGAATTTTCATAGCTGCATAGAAAATATTTAGCAAAGTCCATACGGGGCAATCAGGATATTTAGATTTAATTGGTGGGGACAAGATCTGAATTCTAATCCTTATTGACCCATTGAACCTCAGTGGCATTTAGTGTATTATGCACATGAAAGTTTCCATTGTTTATTGTTAGAATCCACCGTGTCCCAATCAGATGTTAAAGACTGAGGTAATATTGCATAATTTGTCGTGTTGCCTGCTCATATTGAGGAATTTTTTTTAAAAAGAACTTTTAAAATATGTTCCCTTTACATTGTGTAAGGCAGTGGTCCTCAAACATTTTAGCATACATCACAATCATCTGGGAATACTTATTAAAACACAGATTTCTGGGGCAAAGCCCCAAAGGAACTGTGATAGTTTGCCTTTCCACAAGCTCCACCATGGTGCTAAGGGTGCTAGACCAGGGAGCACATGTTGACAACTACTCATCCATCCCCAAATACATATGTAAAAGGGACACAGTACTTCTGTTTGAATTGCCCAAATGAGTGTTTCAAATTGAGCAATCTGGGGATAATTTTTCCCCTATAGTGTTTTAAATGCAATAGTAAATTTCTCAAAGTTATGTCTTGAATCATTCATGAAATTACCCTATTTTACTTCCTACCAAGATTCTATGAATGAATACAAATTTGAAGTAAGGATCATTAATTTATTATGTATCTCACAAAATACAAGATTGCCAGTTTGAATTATCTCATGGATTTTCAAATAATTATTCTTTTCTCTGAAAGAAACAAAAAATGAACTAGAAAATTCGGAGAGTAGTTTTTCCTAGGCAGTTCATGAGTTTTGTTAAGTACACCTAACCACAGTATCAAATCTAATAATAAACCTCTTTAGAAAATAAACTTGAAATAGATGTCATTTTATACAGTGATTAATTTCAGTGTTTTGGGGGTGAATATGTAAGTAAAAATTTTATTTGCATTAATTAACATGTTTCCAGGCCACCTAATTATCCTATTTGATTAAAAATTTTTCTTCTTTCAAGCATTTGGTCTTCTATTGGTAAATATTTTATATTCTTAACTCATGAAATATTACCTAAGGTGAAACTAAATTTTTATTCTACCATAATGTGCATGTGAAATTGGATGTAATATAAACAATGTTGTACAAACAGGTGGCAAAGTATTCTAATTTTAGCATACAAGAAAGAAATACAGTAACTGTCTTTTTTGGCAGTGTTAAAAAAGTGACATAATATTATCTGATACTTATATGATACAATAGAAATTTTAGTTATATGGTAGGATCCATAAATTTTATGTATGAAATTTCCTAGTGGCTAATATAGGAAGATATAAAATCAAGTTTTATTGAAACATAGAACAATTGGAAATTATCAACTATGCCTAGCTGATCTCATGCAGATCTTCATGCCACATATGTCATACAGTAAGGAAAATCTAGAAAACCAATCTGGATTTTAAAAACATGATGTGTGTGAAGTGTTTAGAACAGTGTCACATATAAATAAGTAGTACATATTAGGACAATGTTAAAGATATTTGTTTTAATTTTTAAATGAAATCCAAAAATGTTTCTTGGAAACCTAGATGAAATGGTTATTTTATAAGAAAGTTAGAAAATTTTCTTCTTTTTTGTGTTTAACTCAGACAGGAGTTCTGATCAGAGCTACACAACCATTTTAAGTCCTACATCACTGAAGTTCCAAGTGCTCTGCCTAAGCAGAAGGATACAAAGATGCTTGAGATTGAACTTCTGTTCTTTAGAGGTTTTAAAAATGAATATTATAAAGGAATATTTAAAAATATCTCTTACAGGTTACATTAATTGTGTGCTTTCTGTGGATAGCTGAGGGCATTTATACTTTGTCTTTTACAACAAAAGATTGCGGTATGTAGTTGAAAGTGACATTATGTTGACAGCTAATGAAACATTGTAATGTTCAGATTAAATGTTAAGATCATGGATTAGTAGAATAATTTAATGGGAAATGACAGGCTGTACACTTGTGTTTTTCTAGACATTTTAAATCACCCTTTCCTTATCACAGCTCATGTTCTGATGATCGTTGCAGGATGAAGTGGCACAGCCACTGAACCTATCAGCTAAACCCAAGACCTCTGATGGCAAATCACCCACATCACCCACCTCTCCCCATATGCCAGCTCTGAGAATAAACAGTGGGGCAGGCCCCCTCAAAGCCTCTGTCCCAGCAACGTTAGCTAGTCCTTCGGCCAGAGTTAGCACAATAGGTAAGTTCTGTTTCTTTGTTCTCTATGATTTTCTGTTTATAGCAATTGAATGAAACCTTCTCTGATGGCATATAACACATAACCCTGTGCATGGCTTCAGCTCAGTAGAGCTCAGTAGTGGAGTTTCAATTTAAATAACTGTTTTGGTCTGCTCTAAACATACAAGTGAAACTTCTAAATGAAGTCCAGGTTATAATGTCCCCTAAAATACAATAGCATGAGTTAAGTTTATATATGTAGCTACTTGTCCATAAGTTTATTTTTACAAAGAGCCTAAATGACTAACTGTAGTGAGCTGTGGTTCCAGAATGTCAGTAGGTAACTTGCCTTTTCCATCACTGAAATTTATTTCCATTTTTTTGATGTGTACAAAGTGTACCTAATGATGAAATATATTTTGCATAGCTTAGCAAAAAAAAACAAAACAACCCACAGGTTATGAAGTTCATTTCATTCCATTTTCTTTGAAAGTTTTTGATGTCTTCACTTCTCCATAACTATAATTTCAGTAAATAAACAACCAAGCAATCTTTCTATAATCTGACCAAAAAAAATCAGTGATTTTTAATTTATACATAAACTAGAATGTCAATACTTAATTCAGTCACTCAGCCATTCAACGCACAGTCATTGAAATGTGTATTACTTGAATACAGTGATGAGGCCAGCATACAGACTGGCCCCCAAGTAACTAGCTTAGTGTACTTGGGAAAAGTTATCTATCCTGTGGTCCCAGTCAGGTACAATAAGTGCTACTTCAGAGCACAGATACAATTCTGTAGTCAAAGAGAAGATTGGATTCTGTTTGGGAAGCATCAAGGAAAACTAAGTTCGAGATAACATAATAAAAACTGAGCTTTGCAGAAGAGATACACTCTTAGGCATTACAGTTTTAAGAAAAACCAAAATTTCAGTAGTATAGTATATTCTTTTAGAAATGCACTAATTTGCCCAGAGTATGGAATGAATATGTAGTAGAAAGTTATGAACACTAAAACTATAAGATGTAGATGGGATCAGATTGATAATATCCTACCTAATTTTGACATTTTCTCCAAAAAACAATGTGATCAGAACTTTCAGAAGAATATTAACAACTGAAAGATATTAGAATAAGAAAACTTTGTTTTAGTGTAGGGCAAGAATAAAAATAAGTATGCTAAAGCAAAGGGGAGAATAGATTGAGGAGATATTATTAAAAAAGAATTGACATCTCCACAACCAAATATATCTATCTGGTAAGGGTCAAATTGGAGACAGAGACATCTGGGATTTAGAATTTATGAACTAATAAAGATTTTGTGTCCATGAACTCTGAAAGAGAAGACTAAAGTGGGATCAAATTGGGAGGTGACCAAAATATAAAAGTTCAGTATGCATTGATTTTGAAACACACAGTGTTCAGGAGGTAGCTGCGAGCCTCACCATGATGTAAAGCAGGTGCTGGAATTTTAGATGTGGAAATAATTCCTTGTCAAGGCTGGTGAAGCCAGACAGCAAATAAGTTTAGCCAGAAAGACTGTGCCTAGTAAGAAGAAAAGTGGATGATGAATCATAGAAGTGCCTATTGTACTAGTTAGCTATTGGAATATTAAAAGTTAACTTAGAACTTCGCCCCTTTAAACAGCCAACGTTTATTATCTGAGTTTCTAAGCGTCAGCACAGCTGGTTAATTCTGGCTTAGGGTCTGTCATGTAATTGAAGCCAGAGCTGCAGTCATCTGTGGGCTCTACTTGGAATGAATGACCCATTTCCATGATGACTCGCTTCTGTGGCTGTTGGTTGGAGACCTCAGCTCTTTGCCACATGGGTCTGTCCCCAGGGCTGCTCATACCATGACAGAAAATCTTTCCAAGTGAGTGAACTGAGAGAATGTGTGTGGAAATGAAAGCCACAGTGCCTTTTATGACCGGTCCTTCAAAAATCACACATCCTCAGTTCTGTTTCAATCTTCTCATTACAAGAGGATCTCTAAGTCCACCCAACTCAAGGGAAAGGAGAATTGGGCTCTGACTTTTGAAGAAAATAGTTTCAAAATATAGTATCTATGGATAGATAGATAGATATTTAAAACCACTATACACACTGTAGGTGAAACATTAATAAAGAGTATTTTGGGATAAGAATGTCACCTTAGCCTAGGAAGATCAAAAAGCTTTCTCCAAATTAGCAGTTATTCTTAATGGTGGTGCCTTCTTTAAAAAAGTTACAGAACATAAAAAAAAACTTTAGATTTAGCTGGTGCCCATAGATGGATAGATTCTGACAAAGAAATTTCAGTAGACTGGTTTGAGTAGACTTCTAGGTACAAAGATTTGAAGAACACGAGAAAAGACAGCACAGTTGATATGGAATATCTTTCTTAAACTTGGTATTGAAAGATGATTGTAGTTTGAGAAGGCTGAACAGACAAAGATTTAAGAATAGGTATACATTCCTCCCGGTGGTGGAAAGGAAAAAGAGTTGGGGAGACATATATATGTGCAAGAGTACAGGGTGATAATATAACAAGAAATGATGAGAAAGGACTAGGCTTAGGAAGGAGAAAAGCTCCATTGTTTGCCCGAGATTGAAGAAAATGAAGAGAAAATGGCCATAGTTCAAAGAAATTTTGGGCCAGACAGAAAACTGAAGGAGTGTATTTCAAATGTTTTAATCCCACAAACTAGAATCCAAAATTATTTGTTAAGGGGAATTCAGTCTGGGGCAACAGGGCAGCAACCAGAATAGAAACAGTGAGAACTGAAGTTTTGAGAAGCTTGAAGTTTAGTATGAAATTCAGATGTGCTCTTTCACCATTATGGGCTAATGCTCAGTTACTTTGCTCAGTGTCCTAAATGTCAGTCAGACTAGATTTACATTTATGTACTAACCATGTAAGAAAAAAAAATTTATTTGGCAAGAATGATTCACTGCCATGCTATACATGAAGGCTCATAAATATCACAGTGTTGATATATGAGCTACTTTTGTAATGTTCTTAGAACTAAAATATTTAACTAATAGAATAACTAAAATATATGTGTTTTATCATATATATACTTTTTACTTCAGCATTCTCAAGGATTAAGTTTGACAAAGTATTTTATAAAGGCAAGATTGTGTGTTAAACATTTATCATATGACTTTCTCTATTACTAAAATATCTTACTTTTTTTCCTGAAAAGTCCACTCAGCACATGCACATCCCTCATATTTTCCAAGAGTTTGAGGCCACTACAATTTACTTTTCTCTTTTCAACAAATGCAGATGTTGAAAGCTGAAAATGTAATGAGTAATAATGTAGTTGGATAAAAGCTGTGAGGATTAATGGTGTTGTAAAGGTCACTCTGAAAGAAGAATTAATGTGTTATGCCATTAATAAACTATGGAAAACTGTGGACCAGAAGATAACTTAAGCTATCATTAATGGCATGGGCCTCTTTGCTATGTATCTGTTAACTACAAATATAGAAAGTGACTTTTTGAAATTGGTGGCCAGTATTACAGTGTGTTCTATAAAAATGGTTTTGATTGGTACATGGATGATCTGCAGGGCCCAAGAAGGGGGATCCTTCAGAGGAATGAGGGATGAGTAGTTCAGAAGAATGATGGATGATTTTAGAGTCTTTCATCCAGGTGTTATCTTTCCTTCCTAGGCCCTTTTCACCGATGTTGCACATATGTATAACACTTTTAGCTTTTTTCAAAGCATGTTCTATTTTCTCATTGCAGTTATTTTAAAATTATAAACTTTTAACTAGATGGAGCAGATATCCATATCATCTAGCCAAAAGTTGTCATTTTACAAATAAGGAATAGAGAGCTCTTAAGGCTCTGTGCACACTCAGGCATTAAAAGCAAGTTCCTTTCAGAGTATAGACCATCCTATGACGCTATGTTTAAATTTTTGTTGTTTTGTTCTAGCACTGGTAACCAAACCCAGGGCTTCACACATGCCAAGCGTGCACCATACCACAGAGCTACACTCCTCGCCCCTGTGTTAATTTTAACATGTGTCCTAATATGTGGTCTACAGTAGCAGCCATTGGAGGTTGATGCTTAGAACCTTAATCTTCTTTCTTTCTAGTTGCTGTCTATTGGTGGTCACTCTGCATTGAATGGTGTTCTTAATTTTTTACCCGCTCACCTATCTGTCCAAGTGAGAATTAAATACCTTCTATGTGCCGAACATTTTGTAAAGGCAGGAGGACAAGCAGATCTGGGCTGAGGCTTCAGGTGCCCACAGCCTCTGTCCTGGTACATTTGTCCTGGTACACACTTGGAATGTGTAACCCTACTATTCACTCCTCAGAGGCACATGAAAAGTCTGCCTGTGCAAATGCAGTGGAGACATATTGACCACATAAAATGAAAGAAAATATGTCCATGTTTATTGCATAGATTATTTCTATAATTTCCTGATTTAAAATATAATGACATGAAGGTGAATGTTACCATAAAATTACATTAGTGTACCTTTTTTTTTGCTTAAATTCTTTAATTGGTACATTTTAGGTATACAATACGTTTACATTTATCATTGGGTGCTTCTACCTGTACATGATGTATCTTGGTTCTTATTTTTTCCCCATTACCTGTGCGCCCTTCACCCCTCCACGAGAAAACAATCCAAAAATTCATTTGGAACCAGAAGAGACCTAGACTAGTTTACCTTTTTAAGGAGAATAACTTAGATGAGGGTTTTACTGAGAAAACCTTTCATCAGAGTTAGTGATTAAGTGAGATTACTGTAATTCCTAGATTATGAGGAAATTAAGGGTATCATTGAATCACATATGATAATTATGTAGCACTTTACAATTTATAAATTGCTTTCACTTTTATTATATGATTCTGGTGCGCTTTCACAGATTAACAAATGGTTACATATCAAGGTACCAAAATTTTAATTATGATAAGTGACCTCAGAAATAGAAAGAAAATGGCATTTGTTGAAATCACTGGAAACAGTTATGCTCTTATACTTACTTACAGCTGAAAGGTTTTATGTAAAATA